TCTGCCGGGATGGTGGCGGGACAGACTCATGCCCCTGGGGGTCGGTAGGAGTTTCTGCAACACAGACTAAGCTTCTTGTGACTTGGAAGGCGTTCCTGTTCACTTTGGGTTGCTCACTGTTGACGACAAGTCTAACTGGTTCTACATTTGCTGTTTTTCCTGTTCCTCTAATGTCACCATCTGCTCTGAAACCCAGACGCCTCCTATGTGGATCCGCTTGGCCCTCAAATAGAAAGACCTAAAACCGCAGCCAAAAAGAGAATGGACGAGGATGATTTTGCTGATGAAGAGTTAGGAGATGATTTGCTTCCGGAATAGTACAATTTTAATGTGTTATTTATTAAAGGAAAGAAGTCACCTTACAAGATTATATTCATGTTGAACTTTGAATTAAATATCCAAACTTTAATTTTGCACAGTCAAAACTTTTAATAAGTATATTCTGTTCTGTGAATTTTGGGTTTAGGTTTTGTTTTTAATGGAATAAAAACATGTGAAAATAACACTTAGGCCAGCGACTGACTTACCCTTTTGAAAACATTGATCCACAGTAGGAAGTAAATCTTCTTCACTAGTGGCTCAGTGGTAGAGAATCTGCCTGCAAGGCAGGAGACTCAGGTCTGATCCCTGGATCAGGAAGATCCTCTGGAGATGGAACTGGCAACCCACTCCAGTATTCTTGCCTGGAGAATCCATGGACAGAGGAGGGGGTCACAAAGAATCAGACACAACTGAGTGACTAAATAACAGTAACAATGAAATACGGACAAGAAGTAAATCTTGTAGCACTACCTGACACCCACACCCAGGTAAGTATCACTAATCACTGAGGTATGTGCTGCTCTTTTCTGTAATTTCTTAGACAGTGTTAGTAGTGAAAGCACTATATTGACTTAATGGTTTGTGGCTTGAAAAATACTGTGCTCGGATATTCCCTTGATGAGTTGTTGTTCAAGCAAGCTTGCTTGGCGTTTGGGGACTGAGTTTGGAAGTTTTGCCTGGCGGAGGCTCCAGCACTAGTGAAGCAGTTGTGTCTTGAAGGCAGGAAGGTGTATTGACAGGAAATACCAGGTCTTGAGCCTCTCAATCTTTTCTGTAGTCGCCTCCTCCTGCAGCCTCGTAGCACCAACCACCCAAGCAATGGCAGCATCAAGGGGGCTTCCCCATCAGGACTCTGGGTGTGGGGTCAAGGCCAGGCCTGCCTGCATCCTCAGCAGTGCACCTGACTGGTTGGCCGTGTCTTGCAGACTTGCATTGGTGGGCAGTCAGGAGAAGTGGCTTGTCTGTAATACCTCATGAGAGAGGAGGGCCCGTCCGTCTCATCTTACCTTGTTTCTGCCACATGCACACTTCTGTTAGGTGCAGGAGAGAAACACCTAATTAGAGCACATTCCTTGCTCCCTAAAAAGGTCATGACGTGATGGGGCAGGTGTTCAGCAAATACATGAGATGTCTGGTGTATGCAAGATTCTGAGGACACAGTCATGACCAAGAGAGCAACACCCAGTCCTTAAAGAGCTTAGATTCTGGCCAGGGAGACAGATAGTGAATGTAGTTTCAGTGGGCTGTAGGGCAGTTGTTGTTCAGTTGCTCAGTCGTGTCTGACTCTATGACCCCATGGACTGCAGCATGCCAGGCTTCCCTGTCCATCACCAGCTCCTGGAGTTTACTCAAACTCATGTCCGTTGAGTTGGTGATGCCATCCAACCATCTTATCCTCTGTCACCCCCTTCTCCTCCTGCCCTCAATCTTTGTCAGCATCAGGATCTTTTCCAATAAGTCAGTTCTTTGCATCAGGTGGCCAAAATAATGGAGTTTCAGCTTCAGCATCAGTCCTTCCAATGAATATTCAGGACTGATTTCCTTCAGGATTGACTGGTTGGATCTCCTTGCAGTCCAAGGGACTCTCAAGAGTCTTCTCCAACACCACAGTTCAAAAGCATCTGTTCTTCAGCGCTCTGCCTTCTTTATGGTCCAGCTCTCACATCCATACATGACTACTGGGAACACCACAGCTCTGGTGAGGGCAGTTAGAAGATGAAATGAAGGCACATCCAGAGAGTGCTGATGGTGGAGGAGATGATTTGGGAACTCCTCTGGGAGGGGCGTTTGTATCAGCATCAGGTGATGATTCTCGGGCAGCAATGCCCTGGGCAGGAGGAGCAGATGCTAACCCACAAGCAGGGGGGTCTGGGGATGTTGGGGGCAGAGAGCTAGAGTGTCTGGGGCCATTGGTGTGGTGGGTACAGTGTGCTCGGGAGCAGGCAAGGGGCTGCTATCCACCAGGGAAGCAGGAGTGGGTCTTTTTCTAGCAACAGCAGAGAGGAAGGTGAGTGATGTGACTTGATTTAACTTCTAGAAACAGTGACCCCACTGGTGTCAGGGGGATGGGGGAGAGGCCTGGGTGAGAGGTCACCGGGCAGGCCTTGTTCTGGCAGTGAGAGCCGTTGGGATTGGTCCATTTGAGCCCATGTTTAGGAGGTGGAGCGTGTCTGTGCAGGAGACTTGGGTTCAATCCCTGGATCAGGAAGATCCTCTGGCGAAGGAACTGGCAACCCACTCCAGTGTTCTTGCCTGGAGAATCCATGGACAGAGGAGGGGGTTGCAAATAACTGGACATAACTGAGCGACTAAACAACACTACATACTTAAAGAAATAAACATGTTAACAGTTTAGTCCAACCCTGACAAGTAAGAGAAAGGCACACCCAAAGTCCTAGTGAGGGAAGCCCAGAAGGGAGGCTGATGGCCACTTTTGCGGCTGAGGAGCTGAGCGGCTGCTGGTGTTGCCTTTTACGGAGGTGGGCGATCCAGGGGGAAGGCCGTTGGTCACCCCAGGTCAGGGCTGCTGCTCTAATTTCCAGGGGAGAACAGCAGAAAATTGTAGGTGTTAGGTCACAGGAGGGCTGGAAGCAGCACGACTAAGAAGTGTGTAGAGCCCAGGACATGGAGGTGAAGGAGGGCAGAGATCCGAGGACGGATGTGGAAGTTAGTCGTCTTGGGGAAAGTGACCATGAGTCCAGAAGTGTGATGCACAGGGGTGTGGGTGGAGGCCTCAGGTATGTGGCATAGACAGCTGTGTGTGGTCAGCCAGCTGTGTGAACTGAACAGAGCAGCTAAAAAGGATCAAGGGACTGGGGTAACTGTCGAACGTTACCTGGGGGGAGGACACCAGGACTCGTTGGGGTGGGGGGGCAGTGGTGAAGAGGCAGGGTCAGAGATCAGAGAATTGCAGAAAGTGAGGGAAGAAAGTGCTAGTGCCTGAGGTGAGTCACAGGCCAAACTGGGAACCGGTATCCACAGTGATCACACCTGAAGGTGGAGGGTGAGGGGTGTGTGCAAGGGGCAGGGGGGCCACCACATGCTCCAGGACCTGAGACCTGATGGGGAACAGTGGGTGGAGCCGGGGTAGCCACTTGGAGGCCAGTTTTGGATGACTCCTCGGGTGTCCAAGGTGGGGAGTGAGGAGCAGGGGTGGGACATCCAGGTGCTGACAGAGGAGACGGCAGAGGAAGAGGCACTGACTTTCACAGGAGGGAAAGAGTTTTGGTCTGCCCTGACCCAGGAAGGTGAGTGGAAACAGCCGCCCCCACAGCAGCTCTGAGTGCCTAGATGAGGAGCCCGGCTTTTGAGAACTTCCTTCCCATTATCTCACTTGTCTTAGGATGGGATTTGAATTGTTAACATGTTTATTTCATAAGTATGTTCACTTCATAAGTATGTTCTGAGCTGAGGGTACTGACTACTGGATTTTGCACCTATTAGAAGAGAATTTCTCGACTTTGTTTAGTATCGAAAAGATGAATTGTATGTTCTATCAAGTGGGCGAGCATGTTCAGTGTTTATGATCTTTCACAAAATGAAAACTGTTGGAAAGTAAATATTTTCGTTTCCAAGTAACAAGGGAGGAGAGAGAAATTACTGAGTTATCAGACAGTGGAAGGTATTTCGTTGAATAATGCAGAGGGAACAGTCTGGTCTGTACTGCCTAACCTTTCAAAGTATTCCCACACCTTTACTAAATTGGGGGGAAAAAACCACAAACAGTATGTTTGTGCATTGATATGTTTATTCCCATTTTACCAGAAAGGAAACAAAGAACACAATTTACCTACTAGTCAAAAAAAAGTAACCTCAAAACGAACGCTTACTCACCAAGCTGTTAATTGCTTAAATTGGCAATTTCTGTGGGCTTTTTAGCAGTAAATAGGGCGATTCCTCTTCAGTTATAGGGTATTCAAGGCATACAAAAGTGTTGTTTTTCTACACAGCATAACTGAAATGTGGTTTCACCAATGATTTACAAGGCAAATACCAAAGCTAGAAACCGTTTAAGGAATCATAAATTGTGTATTTTCTGTACCTTTGGAAACCTTTCAGCTCTTATCATTCTTTTGTTTTTATTGGTGAATTATGACGGCTGTGAAATGACCGTATTCACCAGGCCGCCGCCTAAAAGCATTAAGGTAGATTTATAGAATGAGCGAGCATGTTTGCTTGTTCTTGAAATAGAATCCCTCGAGGTAAGTACATTGTCTTTATTTACAAAGTATCGGTCTTATTTCACACCACTGCTCGCGCTTAGAGTCCCTGCTTCAGGAGCAGGCGTCCAGACACCGGCGCGCCCAGAGGTGCCGGTTTCCAGCCACAAAAGGGCAGCCTGGGTCGGGTGTTTGGTGCTCGGTTTTCTGAGCTGCTGGGGGGCGGGGGTGGGTGCAGAGAAGGGCCGTTTTCTGGGCGTTTGGGGGAAGGACAAACGGCCGCTCCCCCACCCGGTTCGGAACACTCAGTCTCCAGTCCCTCAGGAAGGCGTGGTGAGACAGGCTGCCTCCAGGCCCGCGCGCTCCTCTCCAGGTGCCCGTCGTCCCGGGGCTCTTCCCGCGCGGCCGGACCCGCTGACTTCCCTTCCAGCCGAGGCGCCTCCTTCCGCTCGCGCCGCGCAGCGCGGCTCCGCTCGGACGTGTCCGCGCCGCCGCGACCACCGGAGCCACTTCGCGGCGATGCTGGGGCCGCCAGTGAGTGCGCGGCGCAAGCGCCCGGCTCAGTCCCGGGCCCGGGCGGCTCGTGGGGCCCGCGCGCCTCGGACACGCGGGGGCCGCCGAGGGGCCCGGGCGCTGTCATAGGCACTCGCAGCCGGCGGCGCAGCAGCCCGGCCGGCACACGCACACGCGCACGGCACACCCGTGCTCCGCGCGGACCCCGGCTCGGGGCGGCGGCGGCGGGGGGCGCGTGGGCCGGCGCGGAGCAGGGCCGCGGGGTCCCCGAGGGCGACGCACGGGCGGGGAGGGCGCGCGGGGCCCGGCGTGGTCCGCACCCATCCTCCGGGCGGGGGCGCGGGGCCACGGGTGGGGCGCGGGACGGGGCCCCAGAGGTGGAGGGCGCGGGGCGGGGACCCGGGGCGGGGGACGCGGGACGCGGGAGGCCGGGGTATGGCCCCTCCTGCGCGCGGCGCTGAGCGCGGCCTGTCCCGCAGGTCTGGGCGTTGGTGGCCGGTGTCCTGCTGGCGCTGTCGCCGGGCCGGGCGGGGGGCGCCCCGAAGGCGGGCCGGCGGCCAGCACGGGCGCGGGGCTGCGCGGACCGGCCCGAGGAGCTCCTGGAGCAGCTGTACGGGCGACTGGCGGCCGGCGTGCTCGGCGCCTTCCACCACACGCTGCAGCTGGGCCCGCGCGAGCAGGCGCGCAACGCCAGCTGCCCGGCCGGGGGCAGGCCCGCCGACCGCCGCTTCCGGCCGCCCACCAACCTGCGCAGCGTGTCGCCCTGGGCCTACAGGTGAGCGGGGCGCCGGGAGGGCGGGGGGCGCCAGGAGTCTGGACCCGGAGCAGGCCTTCCCGCAGAGGCCCTGCACCTTCCTCCGAGGGGACCGCGTCCTCTGGGGAACTCGTCGTTCTGCCAGACGCCCCAGGGTTTCTTGAGCACCTGCTCTTTGCCAGGTACGTGGTTAAGTGGAGTCCACGGGGGACCGAGCCGGGTGGGCTTTTGTTACAGAGCTTTGCACTGGCGGCCCGTGCGGGTCTTGCAGATGTTTTCCGGGTGCCTGTGCCCATCCAGGGACAGCTGGGCATTGGATCTCCGTATCGCATCTTCTGAGTTTTCTCGCCCATGGCCAAACGGGAGGGGCGGTGGGGATCACCAGAGAGTAACCGAGGCGGGAGGAGAGTGGAGCTGAGCGTGTGGTGGTTGTCGGGGTGAGGATGCGCCCCGGGCACTTTGGAGGTAGGAAGTCTTTACGTGGCTTCTCAAGAGGTCGGTCATCTCGGAGGAAAGGAGCAGCGTGCAGACAGGGCCAGTGTGGCTGGAGTGTCCTCAGCACACGTGTGACTGTCCCCTTCTTTCCCTGCCATCCCCGTGCCAAGGCGCTCATAGTCAGACTGCAGAAGGTGGGAGCCTTCACTCCGAAGCCTCAAGAAAGGGAAGGGGTGACCCAGAGGAAAGGAGGAGAGTGAGGGACCCAGGCCTGTGTGTATGTGTGTTTGTGTGGGTGTGCATGTGTGTGGTGGGAGCGCAGGCCTGGGTTTGACTTTAGCAGGGTTGCAAAGTTGACATTTATCCTTGAGGGTGTTTTTCAATCAAGGAAGCTGTCCTCGAGCAGGGTAAACTGGAAGAGAACACGGACACTCGAACTGGGGCGTAGAGGTGGTGAAGCAGGACCAGTTTGAACAGCGTTGCTTCAGGAAGTGAAACTGACCGGGTTGAGTGGAAGATGGTTACTGCGGGAGGTAGGGGCTCAGGACAGACGTCCACGCTAGGGTTTGTGTGCAGGGAACCTGTGAGGAACCCCAGGCTGCTTCCCTGGTCTTTGCACCACCTTCCCGCCTCCCCTTGCTCCCCCTTTCTGCTCCGTCTGATGCTCTCGGGACTCATCCTGGCCTTGGTCTCTTCCTTCCCTCCTCCCACCACGCCCAGGGCCCCAGAGGGTGGGTTCTTGTCAGGCCCCTCTTCCTGTAGCCTCCTGTACAGCCTTGGTGTGCCACGTGTCATCGTGGACAACACACTCCTCTCTGCAGGCGGGTAGCTGCTTCCCAGGCCCCTGAGGCCCGGGGACCACGGGACCATGAGGGGCCTGTTTGCCATGCAACTGGCTTGCATTGGTGTCTTCTAGCAGCAGCACGAGGAGATGAGTTTTCAGAGCTGGGCCTGCTGGTTCTTATCCCTGAGACTGGGGGCTGGGGGCATGAGGGTGTGTGTGTGTAGACCGAGCCCCTGTCTCCCCAGGGGAGTCCTTGGTGCAGAGGGGGAGGCCTCGGAGGGGAGAGATGATTGTTGAGAACAGCAGCCAGTGTCCCGGGTGCTGGTAAGGAGCAGGAGTTACACCTGCGTGGTTTTCATGCGTCTCGTGAGCATTCACGTGGCGGTTGGCCCCACCCTCTGCAGGGGGTTGGCTTCTGGGCGGGGCCTGGGCTGCAGGTGGCTGGCTGCTGGGGGACCCCTCTCCGTCCAGCCCTCAGATCGCCTCCCAACCTGCCGAGTTCCTGGGAAGATTAGAAAAAGTCGTGCACTTGGCAGCCAGGAACCTATTCTAAGTTGTGAGTGGTGGGGTCAGCTTATTAGATGTTCTTGCCTGGCAGGTCTTGAGCAAAATAGTGGCCTTACTTGTGTGGAGTCAGCTCAGACTCAGAGTGGTGGTTAAGGCTAGAACAAAGGGTACTGGATGAGGAAGCCACTACTTGCCAGACCAGAAAGGACCACTTTAGGTGAATAAGGTTGGCTTTGAAATAGAAACGTGGACTATAAGGTAGCTTTCAGTGTCTTTAGGGGAGAGACAGGTCATTCGATAAATAGTGTTAGGACTGGGTAACCAGCTTGGAAAAGATGCAATTGGATCTCACCCCTGTATGAAAAGGAGTTCCAGATGACTCAAAGACTTAAGTGTGAAGAATAAAACCACAAAAACACATAAAGAGCAGTAAGTTATATTCATACTCTTGAGTGGAGAAGGCCTGTTTAGTAGTTTCCAGACCCCCAATGGGCTTCCCTGGTTGCTAGGTGATGGTGAATCTGCCAGCCAGTACCAGAGACCTGGGTTCCATCCTTTGGTCTGCAAGATCCCCTGAAGGAGGGAATGGCAACCCTGTCCAGTATTCTTGGCTGGAGAATCCTATGGACAGAGGAGCCTGTTGGGCAACAGTCCACGGAGTGGCAAAGAGTTGGACACAGCTGAGCAACAAAGGACATACACAAGAGACCCCCAGAGTCACAAAAGAGGAGAGCGATACATTTAATTGCATAATAATATGCTATTTCTTCTTGGCAAAATTGAAAAAAAAATACAAGGGCAAACTGGAAGAAAATATGGTGCAAAATCCATGTGACAAAGAGCTTGTTTTATAAAGAGTGCTTACAAACCAAGAAAAAGATGTGATGAAAGGGTGACAGAGGCCATGGACTGTCCTGGACAGACCTTGCCTTCAGGTGTAGTGTTGTACCGAGAGAACTTTCCTGGTGGGGCATTCATCAGGCGGGGCTGCAGGTGTGTGAGGGGAAAGAGTCTCCCAATACAGTGTCGGTGTGACTGGTCCAGCTTCCATGGAAGAGAGTTGGGGAGTAACTATGACAGTTTCAAATCCCTACCCTGTCTTTCCGTGATTTCCTCTCGCCATTGGCAACCAGCCACTTGTTTGCTCTCTGTATCTGTTTCTGTTTTGTTTTATTGCTTCTTTTCTGTTTTTTTAAGATGCCACATACAAAAGGGTAACAGTGTTTGTCTTTTCCTGAATAATACCCTCCAGATCTGTCCACAATTCTGCAAGTGGCAAAATTTCATTCTTTTTCTGTGGCTAATATTCCCTTATATATATTTACTATGTCTTCTTTATCCATTTGCTTGTTGATGGACACCTGGGTTGCTTCCATGTCTTGGCTATTGTAAACAACGTTGCTATGAATTTTGGGGTACATGTGTCTTTTTTCATTTTTTCTGGATTTATATCCAGGAGTGGAATTGCTGGATCATATGGTATAACAGTTCTAGTTTTTAAAAAATTATTTATTTATTTTATTTTTGGCCGTGCTGGGCCTCTGTTGCTGTGCAGGCTTTCTTCTGTAGTTGTAGTGAACAGGGGCTACTCTCTAGTTTCAGTTTCTGAAATGCAGGTTTCTCATTGCGGTGACTTCTCTTGTTGCAGAGCACAGGCTCTAGGGCACGTGGGCTTCAGGGATTGCGGCCCCCAGGCTCTAGAACACAGGTTCAGTTGCTGTGGTGCATGGGCTCCGTGGTTCCGAGGCATATGGGACCTTCCTGGACCAGGGATCAAACTGGTTGTCTCCTGTTTGACACCAGTTTACCACCATTGTTTACTACTGAGCTGACAGTGAGGCCCTATTTTTGTTTTTTTGAGGAACGCGCACAATTTTCCATAGAGGATGCACCAATTTACACTCCGACCTACAGTGCACAAGGGTTCCCTTTACTCCACATCCTCACCAGCATTTTATTTTTGTGATCTTTTTGATGATAGCCATTCTGACATGAATGAGGTGATAGCTCTTTGTGGTTTTGATTTGCACTTCCCTGATTAGCAGTGTTGAGCATCTTTTCGTGTGCTTGTTGGTCATCTATATATCTTCTTTGGAAAAATGTGTATTCAAGTCTTCTTTTTAAATTGTTTTTTTTATATTGAGTTGTATGAGCTGTTTGTATATTTTTGGTAATAGTTATTGGTTTTAACAATTGCAAATATCTTCTCCCATTCAGTAGACTGACTTTTCACTTTGTCATTAGTTTTCTTTGCTCTGCAAAAGCTTGTAAATTTATTTATTTTTGCTTTCATTTCCTTTGTCTTAAGAAAAGAATTGAAAAAATATCACTATGATTTATGTCAATGTTCAGACTGATCTTTAGTTGTGAATGTATAGAAATGCAATGGATTTCTCTATATTAATTTTGTTGTCTACAAATTTACTGAATTCATTTATGAGCTGTAACAGTTTTCTGGAGGCATCTTTAGGATTTTCTATGTATAGTATCATGTCATCTGCAAACAATGACAGTTTTACTTCCTTTCCAATTTGGATCCCTTTTCTTTTTCTTCCGATTGCCATGGCTAGGACTTCCAATAGTAGTATGTTGAATGAAAGTAGTGAGAGTGGGCATTCTTATTTTCTTTCTTTCTGTCTTGAATTTTATTTTTCCACATTTTTAAGAAAGTCAACTGTTTTAGAGGTGGGAGTTCTATTTTTTTCATTTTATTTTTTAATTGAAGTATAGTTAATTTACAATGTAGTGCTCCAGGTGTACCGTAAAATGATTCAGTTGTGTGTGTGTGTGTGTGTGTGTACACACACATATATCCTCCCACTTTCCCCCAGTAACCATAAGTTTGTTTTCTACATCTGTGACTCTATTTCTGTTTTGTAAATAAGTTCATTTTACATTTTTTTAGGTTTTCCCATATACGGGGTATCATATATTTGTCTCTCTCTGTCTTACTTCACTCAGTATGGTAATCTCTAGGTTCATCCACGTTGCTGCAAGTAGCTTTATTTCATTCTCTTTTATGGTTGAGTAATATTCCATTGTGTATATGTACCACATCTTTACCTGTTCATCTGTTGATGGACATTTAGGTGGCTTTCATGTTTCAGCTATTGTAAATAGTGCTGCAATGAACATTGGGGTGCATGTATTATTTCAAATCATGTTTTTTTTACAGGGTATATGCCCAGGAGTGGGATTGCAGGATCAGATGTTAGCTCTGTTTCCTGCATACTGTTTTCCATAGTGGCTGCACCAATTTGCATTCCCTCCAGCAGTGTAGGAGTGTTCCCTTCTC